CGAAAGATTGTTCGGATTTTCAAAGAAAGATAGCATCTCCTTTTGTTAAAAGCAAGAAAGTGTATATTATATATACTAGTTACTTCTTTAAATCCTCTTTTTAGACCCTGAAAAAAATAGTGATACAATTCCATAAATTCATAGAAAAATACATATAAGTTTTATATGCAATTAAATATTATTTGAAAATTATTCACAAACAAGTCATATATAAAATGTTACTTTTACTCTTTGGTTTGAAAAATATTTTCAATGTCATATAGCTGTTTTATAAATGTTTCCTTTTCTGCACTCCACTAACACAATTTCATGTTATGGAGTTTGGCAACATTTACTTATAATTGTTTTCTTTTCAATCTTTTCAAAGTATTATTTACCCATACCACCATTTGAAATGGTCCTAAAAAGAGCAAAGAAAAATAGTGGGAGGTTAAGGAATCTTTTTCTGCCTCACATCTTTTTTCACTGTGGGGTTAAAAATCCCTCCTTTTCATGCCAAAACAAACTTTTTATTTATTTATTTTTACCTCCTCACTTTCTCTTTTTACCCTTTTATACACACAAACTCTCTCACATTTACATTCCTCTCTCTCTCTCGTCTTCTTCATCTTCACTCTAAGCTCATGGACTTCGTTTCCTCGGTGAGTTTTTTTTCCTCCTATAAATCCATCACTAATCAAAGCTTCTTACGGAAATCCTTTGATTTTCTTCATTTTACGAAATTGTACAAGGTATTCTTGAAAACTACTACTGCAAAACCCTAATAACATATTTTTGTTTTCTTTAGGACAAAACAGTGAGTGTGGAGGAGACAATGATGATGGAATACGATGAAGAAACCAATCAATTCGATGTCGAATTTTGTCCGGTTGAACATCCGGTTGAACCGGAAGAAGAAGATCGTCCGGTTAAATGTCCCGTACCAATCTCATCTTCTCTAATCCACGTAAGTTTTGGTTTAAAATCTAACCTTTAATTACACCAAATCTCTCATATAATTAGTTGAAATCATGTTTTAATCGCGAAGGATTCAACGGAGAAAACTAAACCGGATTGGAGGAAAGTACACCGAGCCAGCTGCGAAATTCCGGTTTATGATTCCGGTTTACCAAATCCACGTCATCATGTACGTAACGTACGAAAGAGACACAACTCGTTCGTTGAAGGAAACAACAACAACAATAATTTCTTCACGAGATCTACGATTTCTACGTCACGTTCAAATGATGATGACGTAACCACCAAATCTCGAAGATCCAATGTCACAATCTACCGACTTCTTCAACAAGTTCACGAGTTCGAGCCGTGAATTAAAAATAAATAATATATAACCAAAACCTCTCTCTGTGTTAATCGATCGGTTCTTCTTTGAGATGTTTTTAAACCGGCGATTGATTTTTAGTTTTATGTATGGGTTTAATCATATGTTATGTAGTTTCGGTATACTTATTATCTGGTGATAACCAGTCCGGTCAGATTCGGTTACAAAATGTTATAATTTTTAGTTTCATATGAATATGGCCGAATGCTAATTTGAGCTTTGGGCTTAACGTTTATTCTAAAGTGGCCCATTCGTTGTTAAGTCACAAATATGGGCTTCACTGGGCTGTCTCAACTATGGATTTTGTTGGGAGTCTTGGGACTAAAACTCTATCTATTAATTTTAATCAGTGAAATAAATATTTGTTTAGGAAGCAATCAATCCGACACTAAACCCGTTTATATGATCTATTATTATCTTCCACATTCTATTGAATCAAATTATGTTTTTAATCCTTCGGCCGGATTGCTTTATCGGCATGAAAACTATGAATTCTATTCGTATCCTTTGAACTCGACGAGACATCATCCTAGTCCACTGACCGGTCTATAAAGCGTCGATTTTGTCAAATGTTGGATCTATACCAAGAGATCGTTTACTTCTACTTGCCAACAAGTATAGTAAACTTTATCTTATGTTCTAATTCGATAATAAAAACAGAGGATTGTAACAACTTAATTACCTCCAATCCAAACATTAACAATTCCAAAAGATAGATCCAAAATAGCTCAAAACAAAAACGTATTATATACACAAAATACGTACACACAACAAAGATCATACACACTTTCACACGCACAAAAAAGTAGTAGTATTTTTCTCACTGAAAGATTAAAAAAACTTTGTAACTTATAAACAATATAACAACAAATTCAGTTTTATTTTTTACTCTTATCACCATTTATCTCCTAAATGTCAAGTCACCTTCTGTATTCACAAGTCTCTGTGTCATCTTCACCACTTCCTTCTTTCACCATAACATTACTCCACAAATCTCTGCGTACACAAAAGTTTAAAATCACCACAAGAACAAACAGAAAGCTGGCTGATTTAAGCATACTCAGAAGACGAGAATTATGAGAGTTCAAATACTCACTAAGTTAGCCTTGGAGAGGCGAGTCGGGCTCGGAGCTATAGATCGAAGTGTAGGTAGTAGAAACAGTGTCTTCCTTTTGTATGGCCACAAAGTTTAAGGGAGTAGAAGTGAGTCTCCTAACTTCTTTGAAATACCCGTTTTGGCGATGATGACCCGAGTAAGATCTCGGGGTCAGAAGAAGGTCAGGAGTTGTTGTACCCACAGAGCTTCTACGAGGCGTGGGAGGAACTGAACCATTTCCATTGCTAATGTTGTAACCATTGGGCTTTCTGAAGCTGCTGCTTCTTCTTGGACTCGGTTTCGATCCGTATATGGATTCCCTTTGAGTTAGTAAGAGATCCTGCCTCTTCTTTTGATCCTGTACAAGGATATATAGAACTCGTTTTTAACGGGAAAGCAATATTGAAAATCTTCAAGAGTTGTAAGAGAGCGTGTTTTTTTGGACAAACCCGGTA